GGTAGGGTCATCCCGCCGGGTGCTCTCAGCCTGCGCCAATGGCCTGTGACACCCTGAAAAACATCACCGGGGGTTGTCCAGCTGAACCCGGGGGCGAGGAAGGGGTGACGCTGCCAGGAGGGCGAACCGGGGACCCAACCCATGAGATCAGACAGCAGCGCAGCCTGAAGTGGGGCCAAACCCCTCCACACACCGGCTGCCCCATGGCTCAGCCTCCTGCCCCCCAACTGCCCCGGGAGGGTGCCTGTGGGGTTGGGGTGGCTCTTACATCCGGCTCCCTGGGGCTGCGGTCAGCCTCGCTCATGCCTGCAGGACCGGAGGGGTGGTTTAAGACTGAAATCCCATCTTTTCTTCCCCTAGATCACAGCGCAGACCAGCTCCCGGCCTCATCAAGCCAAACTGGATTTCAACCGGTGATCTGTGAGGTGAGATGCTGCGTCGCCCTGCTCCGTCCCCGGGCTGTTCAAGACCACGTGGGGCCACCAAAACTGCCTAAGCTGCCATAGAAAGGTTTTGTGTCTAATGGGATATTTGCCAGCAAATTCAAGCCACGAACACTATGTATTTCTTTATTTGTAAAGGTGTTTGAAGTCCTTGAATTTACCCTTTGGCCACCTTAAATCTAGTTTCTAATCCCCAGCGCAGTTAATCAAATCCACAGTGGTTTGAATTATGAGATGTCTGGGGGGGATTTATAGCTTGTATTGCTGATTATACCTTGACTTTATTATATTGCAAATATCTAACTTACGGTCATGGCTGAGATTTACAATCCTCAGGTAGGTGCTTAGGATAACTTTTAGCAACTCCAGATGTAATTGGAGGTGACTGATGGGGCTGTTGCCACAGATAAACATGTAATCTGTAAAATGTTAAGACAGGGAAAGAAGAGACTTAATAGATGAAAAGGGTGGGTCAGCCTTAAAAAAAATTATGTATATATATAATGGGGTGTATTGCTGAGCAAGGCTCTGGGATGCCTGATCTGGCTGAGGCATCCCTGCCCCAGAAGTGGTTTTGGGCTTGTTGGTCTCCAGAAAATATCAGGATTTAGATCTTTGTTCCTTCTTGCCCTCAGCTAGAGGTTTTTAGGGTTTGAAATAACCCTGGGGAGGGGGAAGGGGTGATAAATAGAAATGGAGGTCCTCAGAGAACTGATGCCTGCCTCCCTGGTTCGGGGTGGCTTTGTGCCCACGGCTCTTTCGGACCTGATGGCACTTTCTCCTCTGTCTCGGAGGAGCAGCAAGTCCTGCACAGGCGCGTGCCCTTCAGCCAGCATGACGAGCGACGTGGTGGAGAATGAGTTTGAGTTTTACTCCAAGGCAGAGAAGTACTGGAAGGACGTGCCCGCCACAGTGGACGGCATGCTGGGGGGCTATGGCCACATCTCCAGCATCGACATCAACAGCTCCAGGAAATTCCTGCAGAGGTTTCTGCGGGTAGGTGGCCTGGTCTGTCATGCTCCCAAAGCCCCATCCTTCTCCCAGCACAGAACTGGGCTTTTCCCTCTGAGATGCCCCGGGGGATCCTCCATTGCACGTGTGCTGAGAGCTTTGCCCTGCAGTGCGTCCCCCATACCCCAGCCCTGTCCTTCTCGGTTGCCCCATTTCTCCTCTGTGGGTACCTCACAGTGGGATTCAACCCTTTGTGGTTGTTGTTCCAGGATGGTCCCAACCGGACGGGGACAACCCGTGCTCTGGACTGCGGGGCGGGCATCGGCCGGATCACCAAGCGGCTGCTGCTGCCCCTCTTCAAGACGGTGGACATGGTGGATGTGACGGAAGACTTCCTCACCAAGGCCAAGAGCTACCTGGGAGACGAGGGCAGGCGGGTGCGTAACTACTTCTGCTGTGGCCTCCAGGACTTCAGCCCCGAGCCAAACTCCTACGATGTCATCTGGATCCAGTGGGTCATTGGTGAGGGTTGCTTGGCTTGCGGGGGTCTCACCAGCCTGTCCTCCATCCAGCTTCCCCTGAGGGGCAGGTGCCCCATGCACTGGGGAGAGCTTTAGGCAGGAGAGCTTGAGGTCTGCATTAAGGACGAGCATCACAGCGTGGGTGGGAGGCTGGGTTGGGGACCTGCCCTCCGTGGGCACTACAGAGGTGTTGCACTGTGGAGTCTCTTCCCCAAGCCCTGGGAGGGCAGAGATGTGGGTTGGATGGAGTTGGTGAGAGCCTGTGGGACACAAGTTGGACACCCCCAAACTCGAGCTTTCACCTGGATCAGGAAGGATCCCAACCACAGTCTCCTGGTCTCCTCCCCTCCTATCACGTGCTGCCTGGGGGTCCTGCCGCGGTCACCCCGTGCTTCCAGGACACCTCACTGACAACCACCTCTCTGACTTCCTGAAGCGGTGCCGTGCCGGCCTGCGGCCCAATGGCATCATAGTCATCAAGGACAACATGGCTCAGGAGGGTGTGATCATGGACGATGTGGACAGCAGCGTCTGCCGGGACCTGGACGTTGTCCGTAAGATCATCCGCCGGGCTGGGCTGCACCTCCTGGCCGAGGAGCGCCAGGAGAACTTCCCTGATGAGATCTACCACGTCTACACCTTTGCCATGAGATGAGGGCAGCTGGCAGCAGAAGGTCTCTCCGGGGCCGGCTTGGAGCACGGGCCAGCACAGCGGTTCCTGCTGGGGCCGGGAGGGACAAGGACCGTGCCTTCACCACGGGGTGGCAGAGAGCGGCGAGGGTGTTGTGACTCCCTCTCTCCGGGGCTGGTGGTGAGGATGGGGCTTTGTCTTCCAAGTTGCTGCTGTTTGTGAAAAGAGGTGTTTGCCAAATACATTTTCCTGCTGTTGCACTTCTGCACGTGGGCTTTGTTGGACGCAGTGTTGGCTTGATGCCACCTTTGGGGGCTGTGTAGGGGAGCAAGAGGGTCTCCTCTGCAAGAGGCGTGCTCCGTGGGCACCAGCAGCTTACTGACCACAGTCGCACAGGTCTGGGCTCCCCCTTCCTTGCTTGGGCGTTTGACCCTTTCCCACTCTTGAACTTGGTGCTGCTCACAGCCTCAGGCTGGGAAAGGCCAATGGGAGAAATCTCCGCCATTTCCCTGCAGTGGTTTGGGGAGGCAACACCAGGTTCTGCTTTGTGGGGGGGCCTCTGCTTTAAACCCGTCAGCAGGTCTGCCACATGTGCCACAAGAGAGGAGGTGGATGTAATCCCGGCTCCCCCACACCCTCCTCCAGGGATAGGGGTAGCCCAGAAAAGCCCTGCAAACTCTGGGAGAGAGCTGGTGTGCAATGGGTGTTAATGGGGAACCCACTCTGAGCTGCCCCCGCACCCCCCCCCCAGCCCGTTACCACAGGCTTACGGTGATGCCCAGCACCTCCCGCTCGAATGCTGCTCCCCAAACACCCCACACCATCACCCAGCTTTGAACACTCCCAGCTCCTCCTTGACCATACCCACATCATTGTTTTGCTCAAGCCTGGCCACTGGCTCGTGCCACCCTAACCCAACCCAACATGGCCAACAGTGGCACAACTGCTTGCTAGGTGGGCAAGCCCATGTGCAGACCCCAGCTGCAGCCCATCTCTCCAGTGGGGCTCGCACACAATTCCCCCCATCCCCACAGAGCCCTCTCCTCTGCCCTGTCTCTCCTGCAGAAGAAACGATCCTCCTGTTGTTATTACAGAAGGCCTCATTTAATTACTTGTTGCCCATTCTAGACACCAGGGGAGTATTTAATCACAGTATTATTTATTTTTAACATCAATTTGTCAAGATGCACAGCTCCAGTTCCATGGGGTGGGAGAAGGTAACACACAGACACTGCAGGAGGGTAACGGGGGGATCACAACCCTCCTGCAGCCAAATGCCTGTGGATCCCAGATCCGCCAGCTATACACTGTACCTGCTCAGAATAGATATTTTTTTTCCCTCTTCATCCTCTTCTGTATCTGTCCCCCATGGCAAACAAAAACAAAAAATGGGGCTGGGGCTCAGCTCTGCCGTCAGTCTTTGGCACATCACGAGGAAGCAGATGCCTAGAAGGGGGAGCCAGACAGCTGTGGCAAGGCTGGGACACAGGACATCCTCATGCAGCTCCATTTTGGAGTTTCCAGTAGCAGCTTGGAAAGAAAACCCCAAGTTCTGCTGAAATTCCTTGTTCCTAGGAAGGTGGCACTGGACACCAAGGTCCTGGGAGAAGTCAGCAAGGGAAAAAGCCGAGGAGCAGAGGCACAAGGCACTCAGCCGTTCCTCATCCTTGCACAGGGAATACACCACAAAGTCAAGAAACAGCCATTCGTCTGTTTTGGAGCCCAGCACCTCCAAGATGTCCTGTGCCTGGAAGATGGGGTGCTCCCAGCAGAAACTCAGGGTGCCGAGCAGCCGGCCACAGCTGCCAGCCTCGCTTCCCTCACCGCTGCCACACTCCTGGTTTCAGAAGCCCGGGTGAGCAAGGAAGGCATCCACATCCACATGGAGATGTCAGACCTGCCTCCACCACGGCTGCTCCCACCAGCAGGAGCGGAGGCGCTCTCCCGGCACAGGGAACACCTCTTTTCCCAGCACCCCGAGGCATCTCGGGACTCTGCCGCTCGCCTAAGGCACTGCTTCACCCATGCTGGGCCCGACAGGGCTGGAAAGAGCAAGGACAGGCTGCCTCTCCGGTCACACCACCCCAACTGCCCCACTGGTCCTGCCTGCCAGGACTTTTCTTAAAATCCACACAAACCAGCCCTCTGCCCAAGAGTTCGGCTCCCTGACGCTTGGGGCTCTATTTCACCCCCAGAAAGCCACAGGGCTCTGCCCATCTCCCCACGACATGCCCCAGAGTGACGAGACCTCTAAACCGTGTGTGCAGTGCCCATGCACAAAAAACTACACCCCCAAACACAGCAGAGGGGGACACAGCAGGCAGCACTGGCCAAGCCATGGGCACAGGGACAGCAACACCTCTTGCTGCAGAGAAAACTGGCTCAGAGCAGAGATTTGGCAGCTGTAGGCACACCATGACTGTGGAGCGGGGAGACGGAGAGGCATCGTCAGGCTCAGAGGTCCTCGTGCCCGGCAGCAGCGTGGTCAATGAGGAGGTACCACTTCAGCCTGTCTGGAAGAGGTAGAGCCTTGATTTTGACATCTACTGGCCACGGTTTAAGGCGCTGCCGGATAAACACTCTGCAGAGATGTTTCAATGCCTGTGGGGAGCGCTCCAGCTGCTTCAGAGAGCAGAAGAGAGTCCTGATCTTTTCCCCGTGGTACCTACAGCTGCTGGTATTGACCTCAAAGTTGCTGGGCAGCTGGATGGCTTGTGAACTGGCCATCATGAGCTCCAGCAGAGTCTGACCCTTCTGGATGAGGTCTGTAGAGAAGCTGTCGTCTTCAGAGACACTGAGGTGCGAGCAGAGGCACTCAAAGACGATGTGGAAGCCTGACCAGCACGAGGGACCGTGGAGGGAGCAGTTGTAGGTAGCACCTGACTCCAGCAAGAAACGCAGCAGCGGGAAGTGGCGTTTGAAATTTTTGAAGCAGAGGTGGGTGAGGGACTCAGGGGCTGGGCACTCGCTGGGGTTGGCACCGTGAGCCAGCAGCAGCTGCGTGACACGGAAGCAGAAGCGATTGATCACCTGTGCCTCCTCAGTGTTGCTGCACACCATCTCTCCCAGCAGGAAGATGACGTAGGTGAAGACAGTGTCACCATCTTTGGTGGTGGCTCTGACATCTGCACCTAGAGGAAGGAACAGAGAACGTAAGTGGCACTGCAGACAATGAGGCCAGGACAACACTAACCTGGCACTGCCAGGCTTTACTCTTGCTCAGGTGGGAACATAAAGGAGTTGGGAGGGCAGCGCCTGGTGCTGTACAAAGAATCAGCCAGCACTATGCCTGGAGGGATTGTGCTTGGAGGGGAGAAGGTTGCCCTCACCTCCCTCCAACAGGAGACGGATGCTCTCCGTGTTGTGGATCTGGACCCCGTCACTGCTGGCCAGGGCATGCAACAGTGCTGTCTTTCCTGCAATGGAGCAATCAGTCAGTCAGATGAAAATAGGGTGACACTCCTAAAAGCAGGAAGGAAAATAATCCACCCATCAACTAGACAGCCAAACATGGGGAGAAATAGCCCTTCCCCTTCTGGCAGGCTCACGCTGTCCCCATGAGGGTGACAGGCCCCACGTGCAGGGCCAGCGGCAGCCCCAGAGGGCACGTGTGCCACGGCAGAGTAGGATTTAGCGTGCGTGGGCACCACAGGGCTGTGGAGGCACAGCCCCATCCCACCTCCCATGGGCTACACAGAGCTGGTTTCAGTCCCTGTCTGCACCCGACATAGCCAAGATACAAGGAGAAAGCACAGAGCACCAGGGAGGTGCCGCAGTCTGCACTCAACTTCCAGACCAGTTAGTTTACAACTGGAGAGCACTTGGAGCAGGAAGACAGAAGGACTCGGATCCCGTGCCCGGCTCTAGCCCACCCATGAGGGCCGACCGCTGGGAGCACTGGGGCTGGGTGAGCCGGACGGGGCACACAGACCGTTTTTGTCAGCTGCGTTGACATTCGCGGGAGGCATGCCAGCCGCTCGGGCTCCTCGCTGGCCAGATCGAGGGGACTGCTCTCATGGATCTGCACAGAGCAAGAGGAAGAAAAAACACAGCTCAGTACTAAAGACTATTTGTGAGTGCCTCCAGAGAGCTGCTGCTGGGGCTTCATCATGGCCAACATCAAAGCATATGTGAACCCATCCCCAAAATCAAAGTGAACCTTCCTCGGTGTAACCAAACAGAGGTTTGTCGACCCCAGCCTCCTCCCACCCATCGCTCCACCACAGAGGCAACTCAAATTTCTACCACAGCATCGAAGCACGATGGACAACAGGCACAGGAGGTCGCCAAGCGGCACACAGTGAGGCACGAGGGAGGTGGGAAGCAGGGAGGGCTGTCCCCACACACCGGTCCCTTGCAGTTAAGTCTCAAGGGGGCTCAGCTCAGCCATGCCCAGGCAGCTAAGCTCGTACCCGGTCTCTGCGGTTGATGTCAGCCCCGTGGTGCACCAGGAGCTCCACCATATCCGGCTGGTTGCGGAGCACCGCGATGTGCAGAGGGGTATAGTAGGTGACAGGATCTGAAGACAAAAAGTCAGAGACAACTAAGGACTTCCCCAGAACGGCCCTGAAACCTGCCAAAAGAGGAAGGGGGCAGCTGGGGAGGGCCCTGAGACCACAGCGAAGCCCATGAAAACAGAGCTGTCACAGACACCCCAGGTCCTGCTTTGGAATGGCTCCACCTCCGGCCAAAGTCCTCAGAGGTTCAAACCACCTTCCAATCCGCTGGCCATCCCCCAGCACCTCCCTTGTGGAAAGGGCCTGCCACAAAGCACATCCATGCTGTCCCAGCAGAGTGGGGGGCTGAGCTGGCAGCACCCCCTCTTTCTGCCCCAGCTATCACTGCCTCCCAGGGCGGCTTCTTACCACCTGGTTCCTCCTGGTCAGCACAAGGAACAGACCCAGGCCCAGCTCCCTCCTCACCAGTCTTACCTTCAAAGCTGAGGTCAGCTCCAAACTCCAAGAGGACTTCTGCGGCGGGGACAAGCCCCAGCTCAGTGACCTTCAGCAGGGCATAGCTCACGGCTTCCTGATAAAATGGGGAGTGGGTCTCCCTCTCCAAGACTCGTCTCACAGCCGAGAGCTGGCTCCTGTCACTGCCCAGACAGGCAGGGCTTGAGACACACAGAAACAATCAGTTATTCACCTGAGCAGAGCTCCTCTCAGGTGTGTTTGCAATGGTCAAAGTAGCATCAGGAAGGGGGATAAAAAAAAAAAAAAAAAAGCCCTGGTCTCTCCTTTTGTCTCATAACCACTGGGTCTCTCACCTGTTGGCTATGGGATCACAGCTGAACTCCAGTTTAGGTTTTATTGCCGTGGGTCAGACAGAAAGGGCTGTTCGGGGGAGCACACATAGCCCCTGTATTTGCTCTGCTCCATCCCCTTGTTCCCAAAGAACAGCAGCAAGAGGAGGGTCCATGAGACAAGCTGCTGTCTGACCTCGGCCACACCACTGAGCTCCAGCCATCACCCCCTAAAACACCACGTGGGCGTTGAGCCCCAGAGCTCTGCTCACAGCCCTGTCACATTACCTCTCAAGGGCGCTTTGCTGTTCCGCATCCTGTATCGCCAGCAACCCCAAGATCTCATCTACCAGAGGCTGATACTCAAAGATGATCCTGCGGAAGCCGTGCAGAAAAGGCATCGTGCTCTGCTCTGCGCACAGACTGTCCAGGGGCCTCCAGCATGGCAGTGGTGTCCTCTCCCACACAGGACTCTAGCAGGCAGACCCTGGCACTGCCTGGTTTCCAAAGGACTTTTCCCTCCTTTTAAAACAAACAAGCCTTTCTAGCAGTTTTGCATTTAGAAAAAACCCTCACAGCCTTCCTCCCTCCTTATGCATTTCTAAAAGGCAACAAAGACCAGCACAGGGATCTCCTCCCACACGCCATGGAGGTGTATTCAAATTATCTCTGCACACAGAGCTGAAAATTGCAATTATCTGGGCACAGAAAGAAAACACGCCAGGCGGAGCCCAGGCTCAGGGCAAACCCCACTTGCAGAGGCTCGGCCACAAGCCCTCACGTACTGGAGGTCCCAGAGGGAGAGCAACCAGAGCGGAGAGCAGCTCCGAGCGCTCTGGGGTGCCCGTGACCAGCAGACCCCTGCCTGCTCTTTGTGGGGAGAGCAGGGCTGCAGCAGCCCCCGCAAGGCCGGGGCCCCCACACCCCCCCGCGACCCACAGGAGCCAGCCCAGGGGCCACCACCCCCCCAGCACATAGGGCGGCCACGCCGGGGGCTTGCCGAGAGGCTCCTAAATCTCACTGCGCCCCACGGGAGCAAGCGCAGAGGCCCACAAACCCCCC